GGGGGGGCGGGGGGGGGGGGGGGGGGGGGGGGGGGGCGGGGGCGGGAGAGGGGTGCCGCGGCGGGTCCCGGGGAGGCGGGCCTGAGGGAGGGCGGTGAGCTGGTGTGCCAAGTGGGAGTAAGGCAGTCCAGCATCTTGCGGGTGGTGAGGAGGGTGTTGCTGCACCTCAGTCCTTGGACTGTCTTAGCTACAGGACCACTATGTTTTTGGAGGGGTCACAACCCTCCAGATGCAGTGAGCAAGTTCATACTTGCCAAGCTCTGCTCAGGTGACTGCGTGATCAACCTTTAAACCCTTTGGCTAGCAGAGGTGTTTTGCGGTTCAGATGCCAGCCTCAATTCTGTCCCTGTGTTTTGTGAGCACTGACAAGTCTGCAAGAGCCACTCATCTGTGAGCATTGGCACATGCACCAAGTCTGCGCTGGCAAAGTTGTCTGCACTTGAAATCTGTCTGATAAGCCATTGTAAAACCTTCGGTACTTCACTACAATATAAAAGCCCTCCATGCTTATGTCAGTGTGGATGTAGGCATATTAAAAAAACAATAGGTGGCATCAGAAGGGATCTGAGATCTTACATGTGCCAAAGGCACCCTTGGTTAATTCACCTGTAAATATATCCCTGCTCACTTCAGTTGAGGAGCCAAAATCAGATAAGCGTGTTGGCTAATTTAGTTGTCCGTATGGATATGCTTGGTTACAATAGCTGGTGTAATTAGCAGTACTAATGCAGTGAGCCAGCGAGAATGGAGGACTCCTGGCCCCGTCAAAGCTGGGTTAGGTGAGAGACCTGTCAGTGGAAATCAAGCGTCTCATTGAAGGATGTGGAGTTGGTGTTCCAGCAGAAAGTCTCCTGTGGTCTGTATGCCTAAAACAACTCTACTTCTCTAAGAAAAAGTCAGTACGTCTCTAAGATCTAATGGGCCTCTGTCCTGTGTAAGCCTAATACCTGATTATTTTACTTAATAAATTACTGACATAAGTTCTAAACTGGGTTTAGGTCAAATTGTGTATTATACTTCAAAGGCAATTGCCCCTCTTGTTTTTCCATAGGGATTAACTGTAACATCCTTACCTACTCCAGAGATACCAATCTCCTTTCATGCAAATGGAGGATGTTATGTTAAGCGCATTAAGTTAGTGTAATCAAGTTAAATTCAGCAACTACATTTATTTTAAAGGTTTGTTGCTTCTGTTTTAGACTCAGCAAAGAACTTGTGTTTCCAAAAACTTGCTGGTTTTTTGATGTACATGAAATTTAATAACATTTTTCCTGTATAACTCTGGTTTTGCTTATATCTGTAGTAGCTCTATAGCTATGAGAGCGTACTACAGGAGATGTCAATATTTGCTCTAGAAAAATGGTCCTGTGCGGTTTTGATATTTCTTCCATTTCTTACTGGTGTTACTGCCTTTCATCTGTGCCAGAACCTCTGCACGCATTTTGTCCCATTTTAAAGGGAACTAAGAACAGAAAACATTCACCCTGTGACTCCTCTTCTTCAGAAAGAAGAACTTGTTTCCCTATCCACTATGTTTTTAATGAATGTTTTTCTGTTATTGGAATAGTTTAAAGATGTCCTAATGTTTCTGCCAGAAAACTTTCTGAAATAACTTGCTCTGTTCTAGCAGTGGCCTATCCCTTTTCAGGACTGGCCTTGTTTCCCACATATAAAACCTGAGACTCATGATAACATGTGTATGTCCACATGCTAAATTTCACAAACTTTGCTCAGAGTAGCAGAGATCTAAGTAACGTGGCACTGGTCAAAGTGCTTACCTATACACATAGATAGCAATGTTAACTAAGAGATGTGATCAAACTGGGCGTGTAGTGCTAAAGGTTGAAATGTAAGTGCCAGAGTGCTCTACCTTTAGCTGAGAAGGAAGATACTAATCCTTCATACCGTAGTTAGTAAAAAATCAAAACCTGCTTTGACCAAGGGTACATTTCTTGCGTAGCATTCATATGCTGGGAAATAAATAGCATTCTTTCAAGGACTTAAATGCCTGCTTGCTGTCAGCATTACTGTGATGAGTACAGACTGTGAAGTTAAACGCATAGCTGAGACAGTATGATTCAAGCCCATGACATTTGCTTAATGCTGGGAGGTGACGAGAAGAAAGTCAACAGCTTGGCAATGCATTCCTAAACAAAACACTCTGTTCAATTGCAAAAGCAGGCTCTCCTCCATAATGGTAGTACTGGTAGTTGAAAAGCTAGAGGTGACAGCCAGTAATTTACCTGGGGGGGTTTGGAGAACACTCTGTTCAATTGCAAAAGCAGGCTCTCCTCCATAATGGTAGTACTGGTAGTTGAAAAGCTAGAGGTGACAGCCAGTAATTTACCTGGTGTGTTTTGGAGATTTATAAGCATATTGTATTCTGAAGCTCCCTATGCTGGCACTTTTTCAGCAGGGTTGAGACTGTGACTTGGTCTGTATATGATTTCTTGATGAGAAGGAGTGCCAACAAAGCAAAAAAAGTCATGGTCCTAGAAGGAGAATTTTTCCTGACCTCCAGTACTACCTTGTGAGCACTAAAGTTGCTTGATCAAGCCATAAGTTTTGATTTGTAATTGCCATGCATTTCTGCTTATGATGCTCAAGGGGCAACTATCACTTTTTTGATTCTAGTTTTTGAGCCCACATTCTGCCAGAGCAGAGATGGAGACCCATGATGTGAGGGGTGGGGAATTTCTAAAGCAGGTGAGGGCAGGTGTTTCCTGCCTCTGCCAAATGGTAAATCAATTGTGTGCTGCATTCTGGAGTAGAGTAGGAGCAACCTGGAGATAATACAGAAACAGGACAAATGGGTCAGATGTGCAGATGTAAGCCTATACATTTTTTTTTTGAAACAACATTCAGAAGCAGGCTAGAGAAAATGTTTAGAATGCATCTGAAAATGCTTTTCAATTTTGAAATATCGATGTTTGCATTTTCTCTCTTCATGGTTTATTCTGTCTGGTAAACATCTTCTTTTATCAGGTATCTGAAGAAATAGCCTCAAGATGAACTTCTTCCTGGAAACATTCAAAGTCATCGGACTTACTATTTATTACTTGCTGGAGTCGCTAGTGTTCTTCGTTGTGCCTAGACGGAAGAAGAATGTTAGTGGTGAAATAGTATTAATAACAGGAGCGGCAAGTGGCATTGGAAGGCTCTTGTCTTTAAAGTTTGCCAGCCTTGGAGCCACGGTGGTTCTCTGGGACATTAATCAAGAGGGGCTCAAGGAGACAAGTAGACTGGCCAGAGAAAATGGAGCAGTGAGAGTACACTGTTACATCTGTGACTGTAGCAAAAGGCAGGACATCTACAGGGTCGCTGATGAGGTAAAGTATCTTATTTGTGGCTTTGACACTATTCTAAGATGAGTGCATGCACGTGTGTATGATGTATGATAAGTTTTAGTGACTTAAAAGCAAGAGATTAAAGTTAATTCATTCAGAACGTATTGCGCATGCTGCCTATTTCAAGAATACTGTTTTTTAGAGTTGACTTGTGTACCTCTGTTCCTTTAAAAATAAAAAGAGCTGGTTTTCTTTTTCAGTAGCTAATTCCAACTGGGTAGCTTCTCATTCATTCAATTACTGAGCAAGCACTTACTGGTGAAGTGCAGAAAATGAATTTATTGAAGCTAAAGCAGTATTTCAAGTTCTGGCAGCCTTTTACCAAAAGTAAACCCTAAAGACCATACATTGTAAAAAGGATTAACTGCTTAGGCAATTTTCAAATAATTACATGGCTGTGAATAGATTTTTTTTTTTGCAGACTCACTTTATCAGAATTAATAAATGTATCTTGAGGTCTTACGTATTTCTTACTTTCTGTTCTGAAGAGCTTTGTAAATATAGCATGTGGTTAGATATTTTGGGCAGACTAGTAGAATTGCCAAAAGCTAAAATTGCTTAACAGTTTCCATTATAACAACCTGTTCTCATTTGCTTAAAATGTTGCTAAACTTAACTGTTGGACTAGAAAGTTTCCACAGTGAGTGTTTGCCTGAGGATGAATTCTTAAAAAAAAAAAGTTCAGCTGTCTTCCCGAACATCTGTTGGCTGAAATAATGTTCCTCTTCTAGGGCTGTTTAAGAAGCTCTAGCCTTCTGCATTTTTCTATCTGTGCAAAAATAACTAGAACAAACTTTCTGATAAGTGAAGCTTGTGCATGACTTGCAGCTTGTTAGAGGCTGGTACTAATGGTTTTGTATTCTGGTAATGCTGATTACCCTTGGTGCCCCTTGCAGCTCTGTTATGCCAGCTGAGTTGCATGTCTGCCGTCCCTGCAGAGCAGTTGCACATGTCTCACTGCAGGCCTGTAACTGTGCTTCCCGATGAACTGGGAGGAGCGGAGGAGGGGGGAGTATTGTAGTGTGAAGGACACTGGAATGAAGAAGATGGAAACTAACCTTCAGTTTTGAGGACTCAAGGGCTAGCACTTCAGTCCCATGGAGAAAAGCAGTAGCAGAGCCTTTCTGGCCAAATATAAAAAGGAGAAGAGGGTGTAGATATTTGCATGACGCAGATTAGGAATGATAAGAACAGACATAGACAGGAGTGAAGAAGTGGCGAGAGGGTCTCGGTGCATGATTCCTTGCTTATAATCTTCTGTCAGCGGTTCACTAACAGCTGATCTACATAGAAGAAAACGCTCTACTACTGTTATTTCAGAAACATCATGTCCTGCTGATGACTGATGTAGAACCATGCTGACAACCTTCCCATCTTACTAGTGACAAAGACTTTAGTATTAGTTAGTGCTTGTTGTCACTGTTTACTTAATGTGGTGTAGTAGACTTTGGCTCATGGCGTGCAGCGTCAGCCTTTGCAAGATGAGGCAGCACAGTTCCAGATTTTGGTTTCCCCCCCGCAGTGATTCAGCTTCACGCAATGACTGGGAGTTTTGCAAGACTATAGAGAACTAAATTCATGCAGGCAGGACAGGGTATGGTTGAAAACTTTGTGCCTGATAAAACAATCTCAAAGCCAAAATGAAAGGTATGTGAACCTTAAATACCTGCTTCTGGTACTTCATCAGCCATGCAGAGGGACCAAGAAAAAGTCACTTCAGTAGGAAGAAATCCAAAAAGCCCTGCACATGTGGTGTCCTTGTTCCTTTCCTGTACCAACAGGATGAAGGACAGCTTTTGGCTATCAAGAGCTACAGCTTAAAATTTATTTCTAATGTCCCTGTTCCAGAAGTACCCAACCCCAAAAGGAATGTGGCCTTCTCTGACCTACCCCTTCCTCCCTCAAGTTCAGCTAAACTTTAAGAATCTAGGGCTTTGAAAGAGGGAAGTAACTCTATGGTTTTTTGATCCTCCTACTTGTGAGGAAACAGAAGCCTTTTCCTCATTATCATGTTGCAAAATTGCATCTGGGCTCACATTTACTTCCAGGATCTCTCTTGCATGGTACTTTTTTGCTTATCCACTGTTTTTTCTTGCTTGTTAGTCAAGATGACAGTTTGCAGACAGTTTTCCACTTTTCTGAGAATCTTTTTTCCTGTGCAGAGGAGCAACAGTAGAAGCACATTTCCTGGTGGTGTTTCATGCTGCCTATAAAACATCCAGTGCTTTCTTCCACCTCTTGTAGGCAGTTACGGAGGGGTTCATGGTTCTTAGAAGGTAGACACTTTGGGATGCTGTTTGCGAATCATGGGAATTGCTCACTACTAAACTTCAGTATAAAAGCATAAATATAAATACAGAAACAAACAGGAAATAGTGTTTATACCTAAAAAAGATGTTTAACCAGATCAGCTGTTTGCATAATGCTTGCCTTACCTAGGCCTAAAACAAACACCTGCAACATACTTTCCTGCACTACACAAATGGAGAGGTTTAGAGCTCTGGAAAGTTGACATTAGCTGCCTCTCCCTCTCCC